CTCATAGTATCACCGTCTCTTTGCTGCAGGACGGTAAAGCAAATGATTTTCACTGTCACTTTACCCTGTTAAATCTACAGTGTGTATGTGCCCAGTTTTGTTATCTAGATTTTGGGTTGGCAGACCCTGGTTCAGCCGAATAAAAAAACTGCATTAGTTAAAAAAACCTGCTCCTAATATATCTGAAGTCTTTTTTTAGTTTCTATTGATTTAAAAATGTTTATAGAGTATTGATACCAACACAAATAAAACATATTTATTCCAACTTTGATTTTATTAAGCTTTTCAGGCAAAGCGCTACTGTAGCATATAATGTATCTATGATACAATACAAATATCCAGAGTTACATCAGCTGGATGCCCCATTACTTTAGGCAAAACAAATGTATTAATGAGCCCCTTTGAGATATAATAAAATGATGTGTTATTAACTGTCTCACATTGTAATTAACCCCTGGATAATTAGTAAACCTCTTGTTGATAATAAGATTCCTTGTTGTTTGCTAATGAAGCATGTTGTCTAATAACACCCAAGGGAAGCTGTCACATGGGAGGCTGCATGTCACAATACATCTTGTAAACATTGTATTCCTTATCTTTAATGGCTACGAGTGTTAATATGTAAAACATTTCAAAAGAATAAGTTTAAAGTTGAGTTGAAGCATCACATGAAAAAGTATTTGCTTTGTGTGTTTGTTTTCTCCATTCAACTGCCATGTTTTATAAGCAAGTCCACACTTTTCATTAATATGTCAAATGGCTCAATTAATTAAACATGTCAACCATATTCTAAAGCATTTTCTTGTTCGTTTATGTGTCCCAGGAGAAAGATTCTCATTGAAACACAGCGTCGAAGTGGTCACATCAGGCCTTTGGGAATATGGACCTTGTGGATGCGGACAAAAGAGCTGTAAGGACATTAGGACCTCAGTAAAGACAAACCATCTCACCCAAGAGGAATGGTCATGATGGACCCTTGATAATAATTGATTTGACCCACTAATTATTTTCTCTGGTTTTTCTCCGGTTTGGCAGTTCAACAATTACGTGAATCATAATCATGATTATTGGGTTCAGAGATAATTTCGGCTTACAGCAAAGTGATTGGGCCTTTCTTTTCAAAGTTAACACTCTTTTGATTCTTCAATTTCCCTACAACACACACATCGGTTATGTGAACTTTAAACTATGTTGTCCCTGAACGTATTAATACATTGTAACATGTTAACAATTGTAGTTTACAATGTTTGTAACTGTTTTCTTCTTCTTTTATAATGTCTTATGTGAATAATAATATAAAATGTTATTGATGTAACCTTTTTTTTCAAAATAAGTTTGAAATTGCTTCAAATTTTTTATGTATAATAAAAAAGCAGGAATTCACACATCCAATATATAAAACAGGTGGAGGTTTTAAAGTGCTTTATAAATAAAGCTGTATTGTATTATTGTATTGTATTGGGGAAAGGCCTCAGGGCCCAGTGTTAAAGTTAAGTTAAAGCCTTTTATTGTCATTATCAAAAACTTGACATACATAACATTAAAAACACGGCAGTAGGACAGACAACATACGGGGGGAATAAATAGTTACAAATATTGATATAAAAATAGTTTTTAATTTTTAAAGTGCATTCAAAGTGTGTATATGTGTGAAGATGGTTACGGTTATTGCATTAAGTGTGGTGGTTAAGCAGCCTGACGGCCCAGGGGTGTGTTAGTGTGTATGTTGCTTTAGACTCAAATACAATTTAAACGTAATAGTTCCATCCGTACAAGGTGCCTACGAGTCTCTAACAATGAGGTCATGTTACTCAAGTTGAATATATAAGAGATCCAGTTTGAAGCTGCTGCTCTGATTCCCACCTCCACAGAGAAGGTACTATCATCTGTGAGAACAGATGCTGATACAACACTGGGCCTGCTTGGCTTTGCTTAGCATCATTGTGGTGTAACATTTAATGTCAATTTAATGTAATTTAATTTACATTTTATGTACTTTATTTATTAGTTTCCATTACCACAAAACACATTTTGCTAAAATGGTTAAAGTATTTTTTGCAGGAAATGGACACTGAAATCAACTCTTGAAAAAGTAAGTATTGTCTTTTAAATGCATAATGTTTTTAACTTTTCTATTGAATTAACCAACGTTATGTTTGATTTGTATTAGTGATTGTTAGTATTTAATGTTGTACTCACATTGCACCTCTTGTTTCTTTTTTCTTTGTGTGTTTAGTAACAGAATTATGCCTAATATATAACAATGCACATTATTTCGACCTATCACTATTAAAGCTTCTAACATGTTTTTTTCTCTCTCATTTAGGTCTTTCATCAATTTAAACAGAATGGAAAGCAACAAGACAAGTGATATCATAGAGATCCAAGGCTTTGACATATCTCCAGGGTTCATCTACCCTCTATTTTTCTTACTGCTGTTTGTGTACCTAAGCTTGCTTTTCTCTAACATTGGAGTCCTAGTGCTTATCATCACTGAGAAGAGTTTGCACCAGCCCATGTACATTCTCTTTTGTAACCTGTCTGTCAATGATCTAATAGGGAACACAGTGCTACTGCCTCAGCTGATGGCTCACATCATCTCAACAGAACGCTTCATCACCTACAACCAGTGTGTGGTCCAAGCCTTCTACAGCCACACGTTTGGATCAGCCTCACATATGATCCTGATTATTATGGCAATTGACAGATATGTGGCGATATGTCATCCTTTGAGGTACAGCTCAATCATGACTACCAAAACTTTGATTGCACTATCAGCCAGTGCTTGGGGGGTGTCCTTGGTGCTGGTGTCGGTTTTGATAGGTCTGACAGTGAGGCTCTCCCGTTGTAGATCCTTTATTCAAAATGCTTACTGTGACAACGCATCACTCTTCAAGCTTTCTTGTGAGGATGTGTCCATCAACAATATTTATGGACTCTTCTTCACTGTGCTGCTTTTTGGTTGCTCAATGGGAGGTATTGCTGTCACATACTTCAGAATAGCTGTCATTTGCTGGGTCAAGAAAAACAAAGAGATGAGAAGCAGAGCACTTCAGACCTGTACCAGCCACCTTGTTCTATATCTCATCATGCTCTGGTCAGGGTTTTTAACTATCATATTGCATCGTTTCCCAAATTACCCAGATTTAAGGAAAATTGCTTACATTTTATTCCATGTGGTCCCTGCTAATTTAAATCCGATTATTTATGGGATGCAAACAAGGTCATTGCGTGAAAAGATTATTCAAATTCTGCAAAGAAAAGTGACTCCAACCTAATCTGTCTTCTGTTCTGTTCATACTTGTATCTGGAACATAATAATATTTATACATGTATATGCTTGTCTATCCTTCTGCATAAACTTATTTTGTATATCTCAGCAATCATAAACAAGGAAACATCTGTTACCAAAGTTAATGGTAACATATTTGCCCCTTTTGTTTTGTTTGTTTGTTTGTTTGTTCACCATGTAAAGCGGCCTTGGGTCCCTTGAAAGGCACTATACAAATGTAATCTATTATTCATGTGGTTTATGGATGAATATTAATAACAATTGGCTTTTTTTTACAACATGGGAAATTACTTTATCCCTCATAAAGTGTGCCGACAGTAAAATGAGCGTCTACACTTGCCCAGTGACAAGCTCTTTACCAACCTCTTCTGTCTTTATGCTTGTATAGCATGCAAATACTAAAACCACAATGTCCATTCTTGTCCCTAAACTGTTCATATAATAGGGATAATTAATGAGCATAACATTTGTGTATATTCATGTTTTTGTTTTCATTGAGTTTCAGGTATAATAGCAATGTTTCATGTAATGTAGATATTGAAAGACATACATTGAAAATAAGATGTGAATACTGTGTGTTGGTGTTACAATACCTAATACTAAATACCTGTACTTATACTGGTATTTGGTATCGGGCCTTCCAAATTACAAAAAATGTTTCTTGGCCTGTTAATGCTGTATAGACAAATTATATTGATCAACTTTTTATAAACGGAATTTTACTCTTTCCATTATAACAGAAAAGGCCCAAAAGAGGTCATACCAGTTGTTCTGCTGTCCAGTGCATCTGAGTTAAATCGTGAACTTTTTTTCCAAATCCAAAATTGTTTAAAACACAGTTCTGATGATTAAGCATTTTATCTCCCTTTGGTTTGAGATTATAGAGTGTTGCCCGATCAGATTAAAACGTATCAGTTTGAAGTGCATGGTGCTGATAGGGGATTAAACAGATAATCCATATAAGCTTTATTGAGACATTGTTTTCTCCTGCTTTAATTTTATGTACAGAAGCTTTCCTGGTGATATCTCTGAACACATGTACTATTCTGTAAAGTTGGGTAATTCTCTCCGATTCATGTCATGAGAGTAAAGTCACATTTTCCCCAATGAGGGCTTAATACAATACTTATTATTTTCGACCTCCTAAAGTCTTTTACAAATGTCAATTATTCTAACCTCATACTATTTCATGTCTGGTGTGTTGTTTCGTTTCATCATTGTCATTTTGTACTGTATCAGTAAAAATATATAAATTGGTTTCAAAATTACTTTGTATCTTTTACCCTGCTTATGAGACACACTTTTCATTACCCATAATGTAAATAAATAGAACAAATATATTTTAATATCAGATGTATTTATCAGTTCATGTTGCTTTGTAAATCCCTTGGCCTATTGTTTCAGAAACAAATAAATAAATGTATGGACACAAATCAATATTTTTTAAAATCACAACATTGTGTAAATAGCGTCAGTAGAAAATGTGATTGATTTGCTACAATGGGACCTGGATTTGGGATTGCAAGTTGTCAACAACAAAACTTATTTACAAAAATGTATTTAAGATATAATTCTACTTTTTATTAATTAGGACTGCAGTAGGATGGATCACATGGTCTGAGGAAAAAGTGCAATCTGAATGTAAATTAAACTACTGCTAAGTACATTACTTAATGACTTATTATTGTGTTGGGTACACCATAAACACTTTCATTAAGTCTAGCTTCTCCAGTCTTCAGTTAGATGGCTTTGCCCATGATGAGAAGGCTCATTAAAAACACCATAATGAAAAATATCCACATGAAAAAGCGATCTAAAACTTTGGCTACTTTCTTCCACTCCCCAGTCCTTTTCTGTGTCGCCCTCTGATCCCTGTAACAGTTGGCTATGTACTCGATGTTACGCATTAGTTGCCTCTCGTTGCTTTGACTGTCGCAGGAAACCTCTCTGTCTTTTCTCTCTCCATCACTCACACCCCCCTTCCGGCATCTCCTCTGACCCTGAGAATCTCCACAGTCCATGCTCATGAAAATACCATTCTTCCAAGTGCAGTAGTTGTTGGTTGGGTTTTTCCCGATGGAGCCACCTGGGCTCATCATCTGATCCATGTCCTCCCTCTCCTCTGTGGTCATGGAGCCCACTGTCTCTTGTCCTCTGTCCAGTTTGCAGACACACTCCTCTCTGCCTGGTCCTGCCTGACCATTCATGGTGCAGTTGGTGTTCTTTACATGTGGAGGCTCCTGCTTCTCGGGCTGTGGTGACAAGCAGTTCTCCCCAACCTCATAAACAAAGCACATTCTGGCCAAGTACTGCAGAATGACCTTCTTGGCCCACTTGGGAACAGGCTTGGCATCCGGGCCACAATGGTGTATGTTCATGATGAAGATGGTCAGGGCAGTGGAGGCAGTGATCATGGTCATCGTTGCAATGTAGTACTTTCCTGTGGATGAAAAGGAGGACATCAACATAGAGTTCTAATGCATCTTAATCACACATGTTTGGATTTGTATTACCCTCACCAATAAGTGGCACATTCTCAGAGGGTGGCATGATCTCTGCCACCAACAGCTGAAAGACAGTGAGTGCCAGCATAACAGTGACACCCAAAGACACCTTCTCTCCAGAATCAGCAGGCAGGTAAAAGCCCAGTGGAGCCAGAAAAGAGATCATTACACATGGTATAAGGAGGTTAAAGACATAAAATGAAGCTCTTCTCTGTAGTTTCAGTGTGTAGGTCACATCAGGGTAAGGATCAGCACAGCAGCCATACTGAATAATGTTCTTCTTGGCCGGCATACCCAACACCTCCCATTCCACATTATCCACCAGGTCGGCCAGGTCAGCGCTCTCCATGGCGTTCAGGATGTCCACCTGGTTGCCGTTGTATGTCCAGGAGCCATATGTGAACCTGCACTGCTGAGAATCGAAGGGGAAGTAGGACACGTCCACTTTGCAGGAGCTCTTTGTGATAGCAGGGGAATCCCACATGATCTGGCCATCATGCCGGATCACTACATTGGTGTCCATGGAGCCTTTGAAATGGTCATCCGCACTGGAAAAACAAAGAAAACATTGAGTATCATACCAAGAGAAAATGTATTTGTCCATACCATGAAAACTAAATAAAAAAGGAGCAGTTGTGATGTCCTCAGTAGGTCGAGACAACTTGAAAGGTTGATCAGAATACAAAGGCACAAGTACACCAACTGAGGGAAGAGTCAACACATTTATGAGAGTTGAACTCATTGCTCAGTGTTTGTGTCTGCTTTTCATATCTTTTGATTAATGCTAAGTGTTTGTGTTTATGTGTGTCAGCATTTGATAAGTGTTCATAGTGTGAGCTGTTATCCTGAAATGTCATCAGAGGCATAGGAGTTCTTGCGCACTGGCCTCACAAATACTCAGGTGATTATTCCTTCCTCCTTCCTCTTCCTCTTTGTCAAACATGTGGTACCTCTGTCTTAATTGTAAAGTTGACATTGCCTTTGTATAAAAAGCAGACAAAGGCCTGGACACTCCTGTCAATAATGGCTTCAAGGAGTGTTCAGCTTGTGCCTTTTATACCAACCAAAACGAGCCATTCTGATTAACCCAATACCAATCCGACCTACTTGTTATATAGGACAATATCAGGTCTCCATACATAACTACCAGGTATGCGGATGGTATCGAGTCCATCGTAATCATCTTTATTCCATTGAACGTGTGAATCAACCCACACTTGCCGTATCCATAAATACGCAGTCAAAATTTGGTTTCGCTCATCCTGTAAAACATTGAAATTAATAGAAAACAATTGACAACAACAGGGGAAAGAGTGCAGGTTGAACAGAAATATGTTTTTTTTTTAAATATTTAATCATTTTGTGGGTATCTGTATAACACATTAGGGCTGCACGATATTGGAACAAACTGACATTGCGATATTTTCTTCCCCTGCGATATATATTGCGATATGAAAAAATACAGGAATTGAAGAAAAGACCGTTATTTTTGTCCGCAAACCATCCTTTCTTGAACTTTAATGCTATACAATTGGTATTCTTTTAACAATATTTAACCGGATGAAGGATTTTAGTCACAGACTTCTGGATCTTAAGTTATCAGAGCAACAAGCTGAGCTAGCTCGGTTATCCTGCTATGATCTGATCAAGAATGGTTGTGATTGGTGGTTTGCTGTGCATGCAGAGCCTGCATGTCACTCACTCAAGTACCCCTGACATGAGAGCCGCGTGAGTTTTCCTTTTGTAGCAAGCAGCAAAATAATTGTAACATGACGTGTTTGAGTTCATTTGCCTACTTAATATCGCACGTCCTGCGATGTCAATATTGCGCATGCGCATAACGCAATTATCATCACAACACGATATATCGTGCAGCCCTATATATAACACATACAATCTGGTGGAGACTTGTGCACTGTGGTGTGTTACCATGTCGATAATTTGTGACAGTGTGATCTGCAGGGTCACATTCAGTATGGTGTTAGTGTCATTCACAGGCCTCAGCGCACTAGTGTAGTTTGTGAATAAATCATTCAGGAGCTTCTGGGCGTATTTTCCCTGAGCACACCAACAGGCTAAAACAAAAAGAGAAACAATTGATGATTAGATGTATATCGCCACAAAGCACCTGTTGTATTTAATATTATTCTTCAGGTAAAAATGTGTTCTCTGACACAACATTCGGATGTGATCATTTTTTCATCATTCAATTTTATGGCCAGTGATAATCTGAATAAATGAAACGATATGGATGCTGAAGAGGGTACATGTGGAGAGAAAATGTGAATCCATGACAGATGGTGAAGGGGACAAAGAGCGATGTCAAGCTAGATCGCCCTCTCTATTAAGCTCTACAGCTCTACAGAGAGATCAGGCAAATCTGCCATTAAGCAGCAGTAAGTTGTTGTCAGTTCGAATTGTGTATATTTTGCATGTATTGATTGAACAGTAATATCTTAAACAACATATGAGTATCAAAATGAGCCTTAACAGGGAGATAAATCAAGACAAGCATGTGAAAGAGAAGCATGGTATAAGCCATCTTTAAATATATTTGTACATGTCTTATAAGAAGGTTTTCATGCCTTTTACATGAATGAAAGTCAATTTTGGAATAAGATGTTTAGTTTTAAATGAAAAAACTTGTTGACTGTATATTGTGACTGGAGCTTGTTTTGAGTGTCAACAACAGATTTGGGCAGGCCAGTTGTTAACCCTGGAACGCTGTTTTGATAAAACCTCTGAACTGGATACAAGGAGAGGAAAGGATTATGATTACAGCAAATCCCTGAACTACTGGCATCATGTTTGCAGAGTCTGGGCAACAGATTGTAAAGAGGAATGGAAATCAGAGAGGGAATATTTGATTCATAAAATATCAAAACACTGACATTAATAAAAGAGAAAAAATCATCCAAAACTAATCAAAGTTGTTACTCAATTATGTATCTGCTCATTTTCTAGCATCTCATCGCCATTTTTGCTAGAAGAGCATTGGAGGTTTTCTCTAGAATGTACTTGAGAATGCAACAATCTTAAATAATACTGTTTTAAAAAAAAAATCCTAATAGAATGAATGAGTGGGAACTTACTTGGTAAAATACTGACACACAGAAGCAAGCAGAATAACGTTTGGATTCTCCATCGTTTCATATTGCTGAAACAAACTATCCTGATCCAAAGACCATTTGAGCTGATGTGTGCCTTTCAGTTTTTCAAAGTTTCTTCACTAAAAATAATCCAAACAGAAATTAAATCAGACTGAGAGCGACTGCAGCTGTTTGTGAACTGCACTCCACCAACTGCTGCTGAGAGACAGTAGGAGAGAGGCGGGGCAGCAGCACCACATGTTAACCACAAACACCAGGACCATCGGACTCACAAACAACTCTTCACACACACGATCTGAAGCCTATGTCTCTGATATCATGTATATTAAAAAATGCATTAAAAAATATCCTTTGTTCTGCAGCACAACATAGAGCTCTCAGCCTCGCCACCTAACAACGGTCTTGCACTATTATTTTCGTATGTATGTCTATAGTCATAAGAAACACAATGTATTATTTATAACATGGTCTCTGGTCTGTGTTGTGTGCATCATTTTTTGATAGGCTGCGCCGCCCATACGTAGCCTCATCACTCTCCTCCGCTTGCTTTCTCTTCCGGGTGCGGATGTTTTTCACGCCCCTTTTTCCCCCTTCAACAAGGAGGATGTTGCATCCGTGTGACTATTATCGTCTTCTTGGGCAATGGAAATTAATCTTAGTAGATGCAAAAAATGTCACCGGGGTTTTACATGTCAGGATCATCCCCAGCTTTGATTAAGGAATTGCACCCTATTGTTGGTACCGAAAATGCAGGTCCATCCTGCAACCTGATATCATGAATGTGATGATTTGGTAATAGCGTAGTTATTTACAAGGCAATTGCTTGCAGTTATTGGTGAACAGCAAATCTGGTTGAGGTAGGTTGATTATGTTTTTTTTCAGACTGAGATGGTCAGTAAATGCATGCCGGCTTAAAACAATGCCCCCAAATAATTGAGTGATAATTCCTATAACTGTGCATACATTTTTACTTACCATCATAAATACCTAAAATGTATCTATTGTATTAATATTTGAAGAAAGTTATTATTGCCACATGTACATTCTGTGTGATTGCCTTTGCACATTTTTTTTTAAATACACTTTTTCACAGTTTCAGAAATGCTACAAGGATCCGGTATCTTGGGTCATGACAGGCCCCTGGTCATCAGGGTTTCATTCAGCACCTGCGTTGTTGGCACTGTGGGCCTACCACTGCTTGGGCTAATAACTTGTGTTTTCATATCCTCTGTTTTTCATTATGAGGACTCTACTGGTACACATTGCCAGGTAATATTCATATTTTGCAATCTGAGCCAACCATGTTTTCCTTTGATGCTACTGATATACTAAAGCATTTTTGTCTGTTTCCAGGTTCCTAATTACCTGCCATCCATCAGTGCCTCAATAAGCCTGAGTCCTGAATGCCACATATGGCGGTTCTGTATTGGACTGCACTCAGCACCAAGGCTGCTGGTGGCATTTACCTACTTCAAATTCTACAAGACACGTTTTGCCTCTAAGTTCCCTGAGAGTTTGCTCAGTTGCCTCAATCTGGCCTTTTCCCTTCTCGAAAATCTCGGCCTCTTGCTCCTCACATACGTGTCATCTAGTGAAACATACTGTGAGTACTATATTATTTGAGAGGTTTAATACAAACATATGTTTCCCCTTGAAGCATGGATCATAATGAAGCTTGAATTTGGCCAAGTAACCAAACATTTTGACTTGATTTTAGATGTATTTAAATGTTCTGAAATGTTGTTCCTTTTAGAAACAAAGTATTCTAAACTTTTCATCATCTTATCAGCAACATTAGTAAACTTTTCAGGCATACATTACATTACATTTCATTTAATTTAGCTCACGCTTTTATCCAAAGCGACTTACAATTACCAATTACAGGGACATTCTCCCTGGAGTAACTAAGGGCTAAGTGCCTTACTCAAGGGCACACTAGTGGTGGTGTTCCAGGCGGGATTTGAACTCACAACCTTCTGAACTTCAGCCCACCTCACTATCCATTAGACCACCACTACCCCACAATAAATGTAGTTTTAAAAAAGGAAGGTGGAAATGAACATAAGAGGAAGGGAACACATTTTAAAGTTGTTTACAGTACGTTATAGAGTTTTTATCCGGCTGGTTGATGCTCTTTTTATTTATTACAATGACTGTGCTTTTCTGACTAAACTTCTTCTTCTCTTTGTACATTTTGTTTCTTAGTTGTACATAAAGAAGGTTTTGTCCTCTTCCTTGTCAGTTCCACTATCCACATGTTGATAACCTGCCGTTTATGGAAGACCATTAAGAAGTATTCATTAAGTCCTGAGGTAAGGAATGCAAGATCACGCACCGCAGACTAAAATCAATCATGTCATTTGAGGCATTCCAATCAAATACATGTTTTTCTCCCTTATAGGATGCAAAGTCTCACTATTGGAAAGTGCGCTTCTTACTTCTCAACTTATCCTTCTGTGCTTTTGCCGGATTCTTTTTTTGGAAACACAACGTGTTCTGTGAATCAGGGAGTAAGTACTACTTCAGTTTGATAATTTCCATCTAATTGGGGAGGGTCGAGAACAGTGATCCATGGAGAATACACACAATTCCAAAACATATCAGTTATATGAACAGTAATGTAAAATGAAGCTAGAAAGTGCTTACTTAAAAAATGTCTATATCTACGTTCTTTTTGTTTTCCTTTTCTTTTTTACAGGTTACACATTATTCGCCCTGTTTGAGTATCTAGTGGTCTTCTCCAATATGGCCTTCCATCTCACAGCAGTTTGGGACTTTAAGAGCCGGGAGGTCATGGTCATATCATCCTCAGAAGATAAAGACTTCTGAAGAAACTCAAGGACTGAGTGCAACCACACAACCACCTGATGTGAACAGCCTTAATCCTGCCCCAGGGGAAGAGTGGGATGAAGGCCTTTTCCATATATTTCCATTATGTACTTTTGTCAATTGAGTGAACTATAAGTGAATTTTCTGCCTCAGTCTCTCATCATTCGATGCCTTGACTCACATGCAGTGACAAATACAGTACACTATTCCATGTTATGTGACATTTGAATATTTGTACACTGCAAATACAAAGTTGTCATACTGTACATGTGTTGAAATTAAGTGACAGTCCTTCAAGTACGTTTGGCCTTCTATTTGAAATACAAAAAAGGGGTAAATATCTATTAATTATGAAGTAAAGAGTGACATGGTGGAAAGCAAAGTCTCCTTGTGGTCTTTCCTTTAAGTCTCAAATAGGGTCAACACACAAAAACAATGGTTTCTGACACTATTTCCATACACCAAAAAAATCGAGTGCCACTTCATATACAGTTGTACAATTTCTGCACTTGCAACAACAATATAATTGTTAGCACTTGAACTTTATGCAACGTTTCACAAGTGTGACATTTTCTGTACTACATGTGACCTTCATGGCCTAAATCTGTGCAAGATATTATGATCACACATCAGTTACCTAACTGACACCCAAAAGTTCATGCAGCTGGATAGGCCCAGCAGCCAACTCGCCATACAAGCACACATTTCTGCAATGTTTTTAGATAGTTCTAAAAGCGCTTACATACACTTGTGTTATTTTATGTAACACTTTGCCATGTAAGAAGTTAGAGGTAAGTGTAATTTAAATATGTTGTTTGGATATAAGGGGATGATATACACCATAACAACATTTGAATGCTCCGAAGTGTTGGCCTCCTCCCTAAACCCAGAACCTGATGATGTACTGGCCAAGCACTAAAAAGACATTTCATTGTGTTAACAATACGTTGTATCATAATATTTACTGTACAGCAAAACCTGGAAAGCTGTAATGTTACTTTCTTAAGGTTGCAACCCATAGTGTACATCATGTAGGCTGTTTTTCCAAATAAAAGGTACATACGAATGTAAAGGCTAAGATGGCCGGCATAGTTCCATTATTAATAGCAATAGTTTTCTGATATCAATATGTAACAATATGTAAAATATGCAAATAATGAAGCAATCACATGTAAAGCATACGATTAAAATCAATGTCATTGCCTTTAGACAAAGACTCTTCAAATCATTCTATCAAAACCTTCAATAACTAAGTTATTTTTTCTTTGTAATGTACTTATCAAAGCAGTTCAATTTATAAAATAATATGAACACAGCAACAACACAGAAAAACCTTTGATTCAATTTAAAAATCAGGTGTTACCAATAACATTAACGATGGTTATGTTTTATTCAAGGGTAAGCGATAGGAGTGCTGTCACACTGTCATCCAACTTCTGACATGTTCAAATGTCTTCTGTGAACTAGCTATTAATCCACAGTCCTAATGACAGGTATACATGCTACATACTGTAGAAGGAAGGTTGAAAGTTTGAGTGTAAACATTTTCTTTAACATATAGGCCAAGGGTGTTGGCTCAAACAATCCACGAGATGGCACACTTAGCAATTTGTTTAAGTCAATTCGACGTGATATCCAGTAGGCCTACACCCTCCAGCCGTTAGGGGGGCAACACGTGCTGTTAATAACCACGCACCCTGTGGCGTAGAGTAAGAGTAGCCCGCTGCCTTGCCACATTCTGCGGCTTTTTCGGTCCAGTACGGTCGGGGGAAAGACCAGACCGAAATCTCTCCTACGTTGGGAGTTCGCAGTGCTTCAAGGGTGACCAGGCGTCTGCTGCGATGTTAACACAGAGCTGAAGCTACAGATCTGCTGGCTCTGATAGATGACAGGTAACTTTGTGTTTATGTTATTCAGCATTACGGTGTGTCCGTAGTTATCATATAGCCTAGCTAAAACTAACATTACAGATGCTCTCTATTAAAGACCCTGTTCTGACTTGTGTCTGCTCGTTAGCTTAACGCCGACGGCGGCTAATGTTCGTCCATTGAAAATGCAGAGTCGACACCTACCAGAAGTGAAAAACACGGAAGCGTTTTGAGAGGGCTGTGTAGTGCTACTCCTTCTTTGTTGGATATTACACATGTCCTACTTAACCGAGATGTTAAGCTAGCTAGTTATGGAATGCCATTTGGCAAACACATAGTAATTTTTTTTGCTATGAAATGAATTATTATGGCTTTTTAATAAATCATGAACAAATGGTTGTATTTAATGAAGAACACACATTTTAGGGAGTATTATTGAACAATGACATGTATTTAACATTATGTCACTGGACTTTAATTGTATAATGCCACATTTATTTATGTTCTGGGACCTTTATTTGATATTTCCCCCTTTTTTTTTTTAAAGGGACTTTTATTGCACAATGCCGTATTAATTAGATTCAGTTCACATTTGTTTTATAATTACACATGTATTTATTTCATGGGACTTCATTTCAGAATTCCAAATATATTTTGTTGTGTACAATCCTACATTTCGTTTTTTTCAGGGGTCTTGTGTTTCATAATAACACAGGTATTTATTTAAGGTAACTTTATTTTAGAACTACACTTTTAATGTGTTTATTACAAGAGACTTGTATTTGATGTCACATTGATTTATGTAAGGGGCACTTTTATTTCAGTGTAATATTAACTTAGTTATATATTTTAGGGGACCTTTTATTTGTTATCATTCCACATTTATTGACATAGCAACCTGGCAGGCAGGGTGCTATGTTGGGATTAGTTGCTGCTTCTTTAGTTTAGCCAAGTTGCTGTCCAACCCTATGACTTAGACATGCTTGTTTGTTCAAGTGTTCCTGTACGCCTTAGGTAGAATACCAGATCTAGATTTCTCTCAATCGTACGCTGCCAAAAACCAGTCACGCTCAGAACCTGCTGGGATGTGGCTGGAGATCTCAATGCCCAAACACCAAACCAACATCAAAGAACTAGTAGTTTAAGAAGCCAAATTGTATGTTCTGCTTCTTTATGTAGAAAAAATACAATGTAACGTTTGCCAATCACTTTCACTTGACTCTCGCTTACCACTACACTTTATTTCAGAGGGCCGTGCCTAGCGAAAATATCCAAGCCTTGGAATGATAAGATGAGAGGAAGTAAACAAATATAAGCTAGTCTTTGTATGCCCTCTTGACTTTTCCTTGTTTTCTTCCCTTCTGTTTCTCTTGTGCTCTCAATTGCTTATCGGAGTCATTTTCATTAAATCGCAAAAACTAAGGCGCCAGGCTCTTACCAACAGCCCGGCTGACAGTTGACTTGATGTATCAGGGCCAGTCTTGTAGACAAGATGCTATGATATTCCTGTTGGGGGATGGTTTTATCTAAAGTTACAGTTTGGAACATGTAACTCGTAATGGAAGACAAGTAACATTTGTTATGCTTCTGATGCTTGTCTTCGGTGCCACTGGGTCCGTTTTCGGGAAGTCTGTCGGCAGTGACCAGCAGAACAGGGAGGACTGTCCCCGCAGTTGTGTCTACAAAGCCAGTTTCTTTAGAGAGATCCCTACCCTGCTGTAACCTACGGGAACAAGACTCGAGCTGCGGTTTCCTACTGGCTCTGCTCCCTGCAAGTCTGGTTCATAATAGATGGCAACCGAGCTTTGGCATGGAGTTGATACGCTCCTTTGATTGGTTGTTGTGCTGTGGGACAACTGATGACTTGACAACAAATTACCAAACAACCATTGATCTGAGTATGTGGATAACTGGGAAATAAATGTGGAATTATGAAATAAAAGTTCACTGAAATGTGGCATCAGGCTTTTCTATAAGCTTGTTTATTTATAATTGAATAAAATGGCATTTCATAGCTTGTTGAAGCTTGTCAGACATCTGCACACCAGACTCACACAGACCAGGCTGCAGTTACTTCTGATAATCTTATTATTATTCTCCTTGAGGCAACATGTGTTTAAAACATGATGCCAAGAACCCTGAAGCACAGCTAAACTGTCAAAATAAGGCTTAACAAGCTGACTTCGCAAAAGCCAGGTATTAGATAACTTACAAACGACTGTGTACCTTAATTTATTTAGCAAGAACACTTTTACACTGAGAAGTGATGGCATGTTTCCGCTTTTGCTGCATGGGATATTTTTGTAATGTTAACTAACAATATTTCACGGTGTCCTCTAAACAAGCCAACGTAATGCGTTTTTCTCTCCTTTTCATACGTTCTCAGAGTCAAAGCAGTTTCTGTTCTAGGCAATGTTTAATTGATGTACCTGGATAGAAACCCTGCAAAATTGTGTTGCAAGAATGATCTGAATTGTGAATAGACTCTGTTGTCTACTTTCCAGCACACACCAGTCATGGAGTTCAACAAATTGAAGACATTGTGGATATTTTGCTTGTGTCTCGTTGGAAAAAGTTGGACTGAAAGATCTACATCAGACAATCATATTGTTGAAAATGGCGTGTCGGGTAAGTAATCAATCATTACTTGTAGCTTTTTATTTGTCTATTTTTTCCACCTGTTGATGACACACAATCGGGTGTATAAGTGTTAATGCCACGTCTTTGTGATTGTGCGGGCCCTAAAAGTAGACATGTTGAGAATAGTCTGGCATTAAATCCTCCTATTAGATCAAGACACCGTAAGCCAAAACCTTAGCCTAACTGGTCTAATGGTTAGTTGACATTTGAGCAGGGTTTTAGGTTGTTTCAGAATCAGATGGTAATAATCCATTATTATTTCCAATACATTACAATCAAAATATTGTTTGTGCCACCCTTACACTTTCTCATTTCCTTTGCTTGTATTGCAACTTAGTTTTCAACATCAAAAATGACCTCCGGTATTTAGGTGTAGAGTATGTTATGGACAAGGATTCCTTTTACAGTGTGTTAGCTGACATGGATATATGTAAGAGATTAGTGTAATCCTCTCACAGCATCCTCCCACAGTGAAATACTGCATTCCATTATAAAGCATTCATTTTTTTATATAATAAATTGATCAACATGTTTGGTGAATTTAACAACCTCCTCTCGTAAAAGAAAAATGATCCATGGTCTCCTATCACTGACAATCTCTTGCCTCAAACCATGAAGTGATTCTAAATCAATGGTAACAGTGATTGCATCTGTCGACCATATCTTGAGTCTGAGTCTGCTAGAAATAAGTATTAGCCGCTAAAGACACACCGTGACTCAGGGTTTTTGCAAATGTGCTAGTGTAATTATCATTGTCTACTCCCAAAAGGCATGACAGTTGTTCAGGATTACGTCTTTTCCCCACTCATTTTAAGCAGGAGTGAGGCAAAGATCCACACATGCAAACCTAGCTCTGTTAAGACATTATATTAGTACTTCTAAACAATTAAACCGCAACTATTGAGACATTGTTAAAGTTACATTGTTCTTACTTATGTGTGTCACATGTCCCATGAGGCCCCTCTGAGGATAAACTGTATTATTGACTGATTTTCAAAGCATGACAGTGTTTCTGAATGGCGTAGAGCCTATTACCTGCGGCACTTTTGAAGTAGCAAAGTTTGGAGTGTGCTATTCCGGCACATGCAGGCACACAGAATGAGTTGCGTAACTTGAGCTCTTAAAAAAGGCCGGCTGACTGGTATGTAAATATCTTATCTTGCGTCTCCAGAGGTTTGCAAGCCAAATGAGAAAGAAGGCCAGGTTCGGTGTATGAGAGTGTTGCAGGTGGTAGGTTTTCACTAAGCTAACTGTCACTCTTTGTTTAACATGGTGAGTGTGAATGAGGGAGAATGCAGAAGAGTAATTTCCTTTTTGGTATGTGGCTAACCTTTTGCTACGCTGAGGTGCAGCATGTGCGTCAAGCCGTCCTTGTTCATCTAGCAGAAATATAAGTCTCTATTTGCCAATTAAAAACCCTTAAATAGACGCTTTTATGGACACTGTACCGTTGCAGGGATTAATCTGACAATGTTTAGCCTACTTTCTGTTTTATCTCTAACTGCAGAGCCAGCCTGTCATAACAGATGGTTCTGGGAATTAAAAAAACATGGGTGGGTAATGATAAGGTGATTCTTGGGAGGGGGGCATTACGCTGTAAATGCCAGCCTGGTGCAAACCAAACGCCTGCATTGGATACACTATTGTGTTGGTGACATTAATTAATGATAAAGCAGTATCAATTAATATATGGACTTGAGCTCGGCCATGTATAAAAGGGGAAGTGAATTTGGTTATGCAAACTGTTACACCCTATTGTTGTGAGAATGATGCAGACGATTCTATAAATGACTTTTATCCAAGTGTTTATCCAATTAATGCCCCTACCCTGCAAACCAGAATAAACTACAAGAATCAAGCATTTTATTCATAGGTCTGTATGATATTATTAGAAAAGTTCATAGAGGTACATTGTTGTTGGTACAAAACCAAGCCCAGGAAATGCAAGCCACTTATTCATGTTGGTGAACAAGGCAGCTTCCCCCTTAACCCTCATGGCCTCTTCCTCTTTTTGTGGTTGTAATGCAATGAAATACTAAATAAAGCATATTGTTTGGACATATGCTTCTCCCTTAACTTAATTTAACCAGGAAAAGACCTCTCTGAGATTGGTAGTCACAAATTAACTGGAATGTCCAGGATCAGATAGCTGCAGAAGCAGCACATTGAGGTTATATAAGACCGTCTCAAATTGAATTCCATAATATATATATATATATATATATATACATGTCTGAAGGTTTCAGGGGCAGGATTCTTCTGAATTCACTTAAACCATGGATAACATTGAAATGAAATGTACTGTTACTACAGGCACTTTCCCACAGCTCCTGCATCTCTGCAGAACAGGCCAAACAAGGTTTCCTCTCAGGGAGTGGTGGCGTTATCTTTGATCTAGCGCAGAGGATCTCTAATCCCTCAGGAAGCAGAGGGCTGATGAGCTTCACTAGATGCTTTTCAGATGGCTAAATATCATGATATGTAGCCATTGATATATGCATTTCTAATTTATTTACAAATGATTGTGGAGCCCTTCACACTGAAAACCTAACAAGTTACAGAGGCCTGACCGTCAAAAAGACAATTGAAAGTAAACAAATGTTAACCAAAACATAATTTTGATCAAACTTTAAAGTCTAAACTGTGAAAAATGTAGAGCACACAATTATGAAAAGCTGCTTTGCCTTAGGACGAGGCCAGTTTTTGGTCTGACAGTCATGCTGTCTTAGGCCTAGGCTCCACGGGAACGAAAACGGGTTGAATCCGCATATTTCTCATGCGTATAGCCCTTTAAGCTCGACGACGCCGTAACGGAAACTTAGAAACAGACCCTGCAAACGACAACGGGTCCAAAGGTGGATAGATCTGGGAACGGAGCGCTCTGGGGGGTCCAACGGGGCCGTGTGGTCGCCTATACGGTCATCCGTTTCTGATAATGACGACGCAATAGCCCCGCCTCTCCCCGCCTCTGCTGCTCACCCCCGCAAAAGTACACTGCACACTGAATTCAGATTATTTATCTTTATCTCGATATGGACATAAACGCGAGTGAAGTCTAATCTGACAGGACGGAGACACGCAGCTCCTCCCGCTGTGATGCAGCGGGAGCAAAACACACACTTCAAGTCAGATCATCACCCTTAGCTATTTTAATTACCTCTCAAACTACCTAAACTAGTTATAAATATGTTCATTTTTACTGTCGGGTCACTCATTACAGGATCAGCTGCTGCATGAGACAGACACTGACGCTGTGAGAAGAGAGGAAAAAGAGACAGGCTCTGTGTATTTTATGATTATATATCATTATATCGTCGTTATTCATTTGTTTTAAAGCTCAATAAATAACAATGAAGACCTTTGACCGGCACTTTTATAATTTTGTCCGAAAGATTTAAACTTTAACACACGTTGACCGGCGAAAAACTCTGCCCGGTTCCGTCGGCCCCCACCGCGGAGAATACACAGAAGTGCAGCCATGACAACCATTCTTCTTCGCTGCTTTTGTGGAGGAAGTTGCTGCTTTTGTGGAGGAAGTTACAGCGCCACGTACAGGTTCGGCATATGTACTGCTGCTTTTCCAGCGGTTGGATGTAAACGGAGCCGTCTCGTGTAGCTTGACACAATCCGGTGTATATTGCGTGTGGGCGGAAGGTTTTTTGCGGTTGCGTTTGCGTTACTCCGATGCGTTTTGCCGTATGCGTTCCCGTGGAGCCGGGGCCTTAGCGTCTTGGTTACATCCCCTCATTGAGTTTTAGGCTTTACATAAATAAGTCTTTGTCTTGAAGAAATTTTAAAGTTGGTTATATTTGCGAGAAAGAAAGGAGGAGTGAGGTCTTCTGAAAAACACAAAAGGTTAAAAGTCATGAACTTTTTTTTCGCCGTCACAGGATTATTTGAATTCAAAAGAGCTATCGTAGGTATGATGTTGAATCAGTACTTGAGTAAATTATTATTTAACTATTCAAATTGTATCTTTTTGTATTGGTCTGTCTTGATCTGCCTGGTTGTTTCTATTTATTGTTTAAAAAACGTGTTATTGTATAATCTTGACATTGCTAATATAGCAGTTTTCTGAAATATCACAGCTGGAAGGATGAAGGATAATGTCTGGGATGTAATCCCTACCTACTTTGAAAAGTATTCTTTTACACTTTGGGGACTGTTCTGTGTGTAACTATATTGGTTGTTTTGGAGACTCCTTATGATGGAGCAAGAACAACAGAGAAATTGCCTACAAAAAATCTCACGGATTTAGGATTATGTCAAATATTAGCTGTTTCTCAAAAATGAAGGTAACAAAAATAAACCAAAATGATCTGTTAATACCTATTGTAAAAAGAGATGTTTAATTATCTTGAGCAGACAATAAAGACATTTGATTAATGTTTTCTAATCTTCATTTTGTTGTTGTAGTAGTACCCAGTTAACACTATCTTCATATGACTTTGATTCTCCAATAGATTTTTGTCGCATCGATGAGAAGCTTTGCAACGATGAGAATGAAGTTCTCAGCTACGAGGCGATCCGTAGTATTCACAAGCAGATGGATGATGACGCAAACGGCAATGTAGACGTGTCCGAGACAGACGGCGTAAGTATCAACCTCAGAATTCATCTTCAACAGGAGCTGATGCTCTGTTGAAGGGGGCACTCTGGTTTGTAAAGTCACAGAGGTGGTCTTCCTTCAGGTTAAAGAGGGTTACAGGTATCATTACTGTAATCCTCTGTAAACTGATCATCGGATTGGCTGCTAACATGGTCAGTTAATCATACCCCTGTAATGTTCTTAACTTACACTGAGTAACAAGAGGATTTGTTCTGTTTCTGCTCCAGTGCCCTTTTTACTGAAGTGTTTGTCAATAATTAACCTAATTCACTGGCGTACATGCTGCCACATTAGTACATACACATGGTAACACGGAAGGTTAGTGAACCTTTCATCAGACTGTAGTTTGTAGGTAGAAATGCATGACAAATAGTGTTAGCTACTTTTCTCTTAAGTACAGTGAAGCATAATGAAAGCACAGTATAGAGGGTAGCAGGCGCTCACAGCTGGATAATGATCATTGGAAGTCAAGTCTGTTGCTTATCAGGCAACACTGCGCCGTAAAGACACTGCCTGTCATCCATTAAGCTTACATCCTGGGCTCTTGTCTAAACTACATGTTGCGTGTGATTTTCAGGAGGCCTCTTCTGGAGCCTCATTTAATTTTTGTTCAGTCTGTTGCTGTAGAGGCCACACCAATGGCCTCTCTGCTTTAAGAAGAGGCACTGAGCATCAAAAACAAGCAATAAATCAAGTACTACTCAGGGCTCGACATTATAAATGGCCCGCTGGCCCAGAAGCACTATTTAGACACCCCGGGCCAGCATAACGTACTTTCCACTTGCCCGCTCGGGCCACTAAAAATATTGCTTTAAAAAAGGAATTGTCCTTTGGTATAGGTATTTTGACAAGCAATTTTGTTAAATTTTTTCGTTTATTAACGCTACAACATAGCGTTTCATGAAGTGGTTGTCGTTGTTGGGTGAAAAGCAGACAGCTGTTTGCTGCGGAGTAGAGTACAGCGCGAGCAGGCTCCAGTGCGCGGGAGTGCGCTCCTTCCCTACAGACTTTAGCGCCACCTAACCATTTGCCAAAATGTTTTTAATACCAGCGGTAACCGGCCAAGCGCCGGGCAAAAAACAATCTTAAAATAAAAGAATGTCAGCGGAGGAGTTAAAGGAGAGTGACAGGGAGTATGAGAAGAAGAGGGAGAGAACGTTTCAGCCATACTGGCTTGATCGATGGAGTTTGCTTCAAAATGATGCCAATATAAACAAGGTCTTTTGTCGGCTCTGTACATCAATGCCGACCTAGTGACAAGTAAGTGAAGAGTAGAACAAATATAAAGGTATTCGCTATAGGGAAATGTCCCAGCAGTTTAGGAGAATGAAGGCTCTAATCTAGGCTATTACATAGCAGTCTAACTCCTAATGACAGGAAGGCAGAAAGCGCATTATACTAATAATATACTCATAATAGCAGAATTCTTTTAACAATGACCACAATATAATTATTTTAATAAACCAAATTTGAACAATTGAGGAAAACGAGGAAGAACTGATTCAAATGTTGTAGTAATGTAGTTTGTGCATAAATGACTATTGCAACAAATGTGTTCATTTTCTTCATTATTAGTCTATTTTTTGGACGAATGCTCTTGGGCCAGTGGAATTTTACCCTTAATGTCTACCCCTGTCTGTACAGTGAGCACGCACATCTGTAGTGGCTCAGAGCCAGGAAATAGAAAGCTTAAAACGATTAAGAGCACTTAAAGACAATAATCCGACTTCCTGTTATCATACAGTAAATAAATAGAGGATAGCTGAATTCTTCATGACACAGTTCAAAGTCTGCATCTGGCTTTAAAGAATAAGCAATAGGCCTTAGCCACAATGATGCACATTTTCCAAAGACAATACTTTGAGGAGCGTGATACTTCACCTGCAGTACAGACTATCTCTGTAGTGAAATCCTCCCACACAGATATAGCAAGAAAGAAAGGCATCATGACTTATTACTGGTTTCCACCGATGTTGCATGAGTTGGCTTTTGTAGGAGTGCAAGATGTTATGTTTGTGACTAAGTAAGCCTACGATATAGTGGGCAACCACCTGTGTGGTTCCATTTCTTGTAGTGGACCACTACCACTCGTGCCCTAAATGTGGGTTTTGGTGCCATGGTGTCAACATGCCATTTTAAAACAGAGATACAAAAAGAAATCCAGAGACCTCTGTTGTTCAGGTTTAGGGGATTACAATTATGTTCATGTAGATTATCACCAGTTCTAAATGGTTCAAGATCAATACATAATAATTGTGTGCTTTAAAAAAAAATGATACATTTAGACATGATTGCAGAATTGCTCAAACTTCAGAGACTCGATACTTTCACTGTATTCTCTGTAACCATTACAAACATCCTTGTCATTCTGCAGTTCCTGAGAGAAGATCTTAACTACCATGACCCCAAGGCCAAGCACAACACCTTCCATGGTGACGACCAGTTCATCAGTGTGGAGGACCTGTGGAAGGCCTGGAAGGGCTCTGAAGGTATTGCTTTGATACATGTTCCTACTAAAACCAGCAGTGACTGCAAACAAAGGCCAATCTCTCCGTTTGTGTTGTGCTTGTTTGAGTTTAAAGACTGTAAACTTTGTTTCTGCAAACTGTGTACCGCATTGACACGCTCTGCTAATATTTACTGTTTGATATTTGACTGTTTATTGAAACACTCCTTGTGACTTTGAGTGTCTGTTAGTAGCTTGTAAATTAGAGTTAGTTTTTTCTTCTGACTGAAAGGGTGGGTCTCACATTCCCCTGCTTGACACTCACTTGCGCAACAGTCAATCAGATGTCATGTCAAGCAAAGTGCAGTCTAGTTATCAGCACCAGCAAGTGTGTCACTCTTATTGACTCTTGTCAGCACGAAAAATTCACATGTTCACTATCACCTCCTTCTGCCTATCTGTTTGACTGGGCTATCGTATACTCTTTGAGAGCACTTTTCATGTGCCGTATCTGGCACTTATGTCTATTCACACCCTTTGCTCTGGCTGCCTTTCCCCCCTTTTTTGCTCATAGCACTGACTTATCCTGCAATGCAGTTTTTTGACAAGGCTCTGGAGATTTGGAGCCAGGAAACTGGGTTTTTGTCCAAGAAAATAAGACTAACACAGACAGCCCACACTGTTGTCTCTGCTGGTTATCACTATGGGCAGGTCACTGTATGCTACGCTACAGGATACAGGCGACCATTCCGGATACAGCTGTCCATGTTTGTTTGATATGTCTCATGTATCAAGTTGTATTTACAGTGCAGTTTGATAGTGTTATGGTAGTTGCATATGGTGGTTGTTTTGGCTCTGTTCACTGGGTTTAAAATCAAACAATATCCACCAGGTCAGTGCTGACTCTCTTGATATTCATTTCAGAGCAGCAGTGTAGGTAGAAAGGGGGCATTAAGGGACAGCCATTATTGGACAAGTTAGTAGATACCGACTGTAGCAAAGGTTGTGCTATGTGATGCTCTGCTGGGCCTGTACTGCAGTCATCTTTATTGCTGGGTCATTTTTTCGTAGCATCTTTACCGTAAGCCTGTTTTTTAAATAAGCAAAACGCATGATCATTTGGAATGAGTTTTAAAGATGCTGTGGAGGGTCACTGTTCTCAAATGAGGTGCTAAAAGTCTATAAGTACATTGTCCATTCAATAAGAAGACCCTCAAACATCATATGATACAAGTCAGCTTTTTATCACATAGCCATTGTTTTATTCATTTGAAAGAGAGCAACAATAAAGAACATATTAGTTGTACTTCCTAACTGCACCTGCACCTTAGAGCCTTATCAATACTGGACGTCTGCAGGAATTGGATGAATAAGTATCTGTGAGCACTATAACTAAATGTGTTTTTATTTTTCCCCACAGTGTATAATTGGACATTGGATGAGGTGGTGGAATGGCTCATCACTTATGTGGAACTGCCACAATATGTCGAGGCCTTTCGCAAGATGAATTTTAATGGAAGCGTCATGCCAAGGTAAAATATGTCAAGACTTTTATAACTTCTCCAAAGTGAAATGTACCACAAATAAGTTGTGGTTTATATAAAACTGTTAAACTCACAAATGTACAACAGTGATGCCACTGTGGACATGACCCCAACACATAACATGGATTTGATGCATCTTCTTACTGCCAGCTATTAAATCCCATTTAAATGACTTTCTTTATAAGTTATTACATTCCCTATTCTGATCAGTCAGTGTCAGTTTTAGAACATTCATTTCATTTTCCGCAGCTAGTGTATCGAGTGACCGTTTGTGATTTTTAATCTGAATGATAGATAATAAAGATTTGTTAAGGGGTCACGTTACACATGGCTCAGAATGGATTACACCCTTTGCTCTTCCTTCCTTGTTCCTGCATAATGACTTTGTGTGTCTGTTCTCTCTCAGGCTGGCTGTTAAGAACACCTCCCTGACGCTCTCTATTCTGAAGATCCTGGATCGCAGCCACGTGCAAAAGTTGCAGCTCAAATCTTTGGACACCGTGCTGTTTGGAGCACCCCTGAGTATGTGACGTTATTCCTTTTTGTTAATGTTGCAGCTCCTATTCATACACACTCATACAACCAATCATACAACATGAGTTGGTTGGTACTTCACACCCCTAAGCAGAGTTGAGAGGAAAGTTCAGTTCTTGTTACCTCTTTATTGATGTTACCTCTTCATTGATGTTACCTCTTCTATAGAAAAGCAGGAAAACTCAAAACATTGTCAGCAAAATTCTGTAAAACATAGTGGGAAGATTTAAAATGAAAAGCTTACCTGGATACACATTTTTTGTTGTTGCATATTGTAGTTTTCAGTTATTATTTTTGTTTAGATATTGATCCAGATGCAGATAAAAAAATGTATAAAAACATGTTGGGGATCCTGCGTCCTGGACATTTATGTACTTCTAGAATGCCTCATTATTTCTAAATAAGGCTTTCATACTATGTCAATATGTTGGAACCGGTTTCGTCACAGAAAACCGCTTATCAGAGAGCTAGAAATCATCTTCAACTTTCAAGTCAACACTTGTTCACATATGTCACTCCCTCATGAGAAAACTTGACTTGATTCTCTTGCATTGGAAGACTATTACTGTGAGACATCACTAGGAAGATTTTTAGTTTGTTTCAACAGCAAACCACCATTTCCTATATCCTGACCACAGTTCTTTTACTGACTCATTTTTAATCAGTACCTTGTCCCTGTAATATGCGAGTCACTAAATCATCTACTCACTGATTTACTGACTTCAGTCGTCCCAACTTTGATATGTTGGGGTAGTCCTGTCACCACCTGTGTCGGTTTCAGGGAGTGAGGAAGTGAGACGTAGTTAGACCCCACTTGATAATACGCTTTTCACTGCGTAGTAAGATTAACATGCTCTCATCCTCTCCTCTCTTTCTCCAGTTATACTGCTCCATATATGTAACTACTATTTGTTTTCTTCTCTTAAGGGTTTCATTGCCTCACAATGGATAGGGTGTGTCTCTTCTTTCATTCCTCTTGGCAGCACATTACATTTTTTTTTACGAAATCTGTGTTAACATATTGTTCCCAGAACGTCTGACCAACTCCTTGTTGATTTCTAGAAAAACAGGGTTGGTTCCTTCAAGCTTAGTTACAGCCTGGCAGATGAAACATTTGCCATACTAAGCTGAAAACAATATGGATTTTTAGAGTTTACACACATATTTATGTTGTGCAGGGACTCCCTGCTGAAGAGAATTGATTCTGAGGGGCAGATATGTGTGATCATCATAGAAAATGTAATGAACCTTCAAAGAAAGGAGTCTTCTTCATTAGAAAGAGATTGCACAGGGCGACAGTGTGTAGTCGTCTGTGTCTGGCATGTGTCATTGTGAATGTGTTTTGTTAGAATCACACCCGAAGGAAGACATTTGTGAGCACCGTCTGGCTTTGACAGCCTCTCAAAGCCAGGGGGTCCCACTAATAGTCAGTGTGACACACTGTGTAGAGCAGCAGCATTTTAAGACACATCTCACAATGGGTTGATCTTAATCAAGTGGACTGTTGTGTACAAAATAATCAACCAAAGGACATTTCCAGTTTTGTTGTTAATTAAATGTCACTTAATGCTCTCTGGGTGGTAATTCTGTAAGGCAGTCAATGTAGTATTTGCTAGAACTTGAGTGATGACAGGAAGCAAACTGTGTTTCCTGCTGAGGTCTGATAGTAGCAGTACATAGAGAACAGTCTAGCATTTGGAAATGGTTTTATATTATCTCAGAGATAATGCACAGTATTTCCTTTTTTTAAGCATCTGTTCCCAGTCACTATGCAGACCAAAGACACATTTAGCACACATGCATTTCAGTTAAATACCATGACCTCATCTTTGGGATTTTCCTCTCGTGGCTTAAAGGTAATGGCCTGCATCTACCGGCCAAAGAAGACATGGGAGCAGTAGTTTACAGCTGTCCTGTATATTTTCTATTTCTCACTTCTAGTTTTTGCTTTGACACAATAGCAGGCACAGCTGACTCTGATGAACCAGTGTTTATGGACTTTCTAATTCCACAGGAATATACACAGCCTTCCTGAAAGATCATTTATCACAAGCTAGAAATGTTGTGTGCCTTTGAGCATACAGAGGGTTCATGTGAAGTTTCATGTGAAGTTTGATCCACATGATGATTTCACTTTGATCTATGTCATTATCAGCCAGTAGTGCAGGAACATGTTTGTAGAGAACTTTGTTTTTAAGGGAAATGTACTCCTGATCATATCTTAAGAGAAACAAGCTTGTGTAGTGACATGTTATCCTAATTTTACTTCCTTTTTCTCTCACTCCAGGAAGTAGAAGTCATAGTTTTGACATCACTTTCCCACACACCCCTTTTCAGGTTTTGCAAGAAAAACTTGCCTCCCTGTGTGGCTTTCTAGGCTGAAATGCAAGCTGTGTGTCAAGCTGCTGCATGACAACTACAAATGACAAATAAAAGCAAACCTTTTTTTGGGTCAGATTTTAAGATTATAGAAGTTCGCCTCATGAAAGTTGAAATGAAACAAAGATTTCTCACAGATGATAGCTGCTTTTTAGCTGCTGTGAATTGTAATAGCTATGAATCCCTTACAATGACAACATGACAGCATACCCACACTTTGTAAATATAAGGATTCCATTTCAAGCTCCTTATGTTTACCAGAATGTTATAGTTGCCATTGTTTGGTTTTCTCTGCATGTTTATCAGCATTGGTTACCAGACTGGAATAGGAAGTGTTAAGCTGGCTTTATCGTGGTCTTTTGCACTAGGCCTTCTCACCGCAACCTGAACCTGTGCTACTGACTCTTCTATTTGTGTCACTCTGCAGCGGGTGTATAACTTGGCTATATCAAACACAAGCCTCACCACATCCTGGTGAAACTTGCTCATTGTTAGACAACTGTATGATCTACATAGATGTTGCCTGGCTGAAATATAGATCCTTTACTGTCAGCACTTGAGATGTTTTGTGTTTATTAAAATGCTAAAATGTAACTTCTCTAATTGATTTTTCTCTTTCTATCAGTGAATAGACATAGCCACTTGAAGGACTTCATGCTGGTTGTGTCAATAGTCATTGGCATGGGTGGCTGCTGGTTTGCCTTCATCCAGAATCGCTACTCTAAGGATCACATGAAGAAGATGATGAAGGACCTGGACGGCCTGCAGAGAGCTGAGCAGAGCCTGCATGATCTGCAACAGAAGTGAGGGTTTTTCCACACCTCCCACACAAGCAATATGTTAAACGCTGTGCACACACCCCAGTAGTTTCCTCATAAAGCACGGAAATTAATGCACATCCTGTTTTAGTCCTCATATTATAACTACATTTATTCGCACCATCTTTTCTAAAGTATAGTTCAACTGCATGGCACAAGTCATCACTTTCACAGGATTGCATGATCAGAGCCACATTGTTCTAAAATGGGAGGTGCAACACAGTTAGAGGTGCACTATGCTTCAGTGGACATACATTTAGACCAATAAGTGATTCAATTGGCCTAAGTGGCACATTTTAAATTAAAGTGGACCCCAGAACCCCAGAACCCCCTCCATTAACCACATCACTCCTGAAGAACAGGAGTGATGTGGTTAATGGAGGGGGTTCTGGTGATGATGCGGGCGGCAGAGTTCTGAACCAGTTGAAGTCTGTGGATGGATTTGAGAGGGAGACCAAAGAGAAGGGAGTTGCAGTAGTCGATGCGGGAAGTGACCAGGGTGTGAACAAGAATGGCGGTGGTCTTAGGGTTAAAGGTAGGGTAGGTAAGTTTGAGAAACCGGCTCGAGATACACTTTTTGTTATATTCCATGGAATGCTCTTAACATCCCGATGGCAATGAATATCTTAAGTGCTATTTCAAATTCTAACGATCTCGAGCCGGTTTCTCAAACTTACCTACCCCACCTTTTAAGGGACAGGCGGAGGCGGTTGATGTTGCGTAGATGGAAATAGGCAGACCGATGATAAATTATATGACAAGATACTTCTAATATAAATGTGTTAATGGTTCAAGGACACATCAGTACACTCTTTGTTTAGGTGTGTCGTTTGGACAGTTGGAATGTTATTAAATCTGGTTTTACAACTCTGTACATGTCACCAATCAGGAAGTGTCCTCTAAGTTACCATTCGCCTGCAACACAGCATTGCATTCACAAGCTGATGCAACACTCTAGTGCAGTGTTCTCCACATTTTTCCCCGGCATTTCTGCTCAGACTTTTGAAAGGCCAAAGAACAGGTGTGTCAAGACCATCAGGGTTAAGCCCGCATACTTTTGATTGTGACAGTGAGTATTTTTGGTAGCACTGGCTGGAGTAATTCTAACTCTGTATCAGACTATGGTGAAGAGATTCTCAGTTTAGCAGCCCAGTGTCTTTCCAGCCCTCACCCGTAATCATGCTTTTAACTTTGAGGAGGAATTAAAAGTAACCTAGCAGTTAAGCCATACAAATAGGGCTGCTCGATTATGGCAAAAATCATAATCTCGATTATTTGGGTCAATACTTGATATCACGATTATTAAAAACGATTATCCATTTACTTTGAAAACATCAATTTATTGGAGAATTTTTTTTTGAACAGTATGTTTTTAACAGTTGATTACCCTGAACTTTAAGTATAATTCAACTGAAAAAAAAAAAAAATTAATTTGAAAAAAAAAAGTAATAATAAAAAAATAATCGTTTTATTTCGATTACGTTGTTTTCGTAATCGTTGCAAGCCATAATCGTAATTGCGATTAAAATACGATTAATTGAGCAGCCCTACATACAAAGCTTGTGTCTGCATTATCACAGAATACTACATACTGACACCTGGTGTATTCCAGCCTTAGAAGCATCAGGCAATGTCTGCCTTAATGATGTAATGTTTTAAGAGGATATGTTTTAAAATAAATGCAGTGTCATGATGAATGATTGAGTGTTTCAAGCCAAATCTAACTATTTTGGTCCTGTTAATGCTTCAAGGTATGCTCGGAATGTGCTTGAAGCGTGCACTGTTTCCTTTTATTCCTTTAAAGGATACTCAAAGATTGCTTCTTCTTTAACACAGAGCAGGGTTTTTTTTTTTTTTACTTTTAATAGGATTAGGTGCACAGGGGGTGGGGGAAAACCTTACATGAAAAGCAACTTTTCATAGGTGACTTCCTTCCCTGTAGTGGTATTAAACCCCGTCATAGAGGAACTTGCTCGTTAAGGAAGGAACAAATATATCATTTTGTATAGTTTGATAGTTGGTGGTCGGCTTGTTTTATTACTTAAAACTGAAGGATTCATCTTCGTGGACCAATGACTTTTCTGCAGGATATTTACATAAAATATATTTATTTGTTTTTGAAATTGTGTACAAAGTTGAATTTGACCTCAGGTTGTTTGTAATAGAAAGGTCAATGAGTGTCCAGCTTGGAAACAGATTGACCTCTGGGGAGCAGCGACATGTGTTGCCACATGACTGCATAACGTCTCTGGTCCAATGCTTGGGGATATTGAACCAGGGGGGGATGAGCTGTTATGTGTACCCTTATTACCCAAATGAGTTGTGTCAGCTGGATGTTTAGGGGATGCAGATTGTTGAAATGTGATCTGATGTACAGCAAATAGACTGTTAAGACAAGACTTAGGTTTCACTGACTGAAATGAGGCCTGGACCTTCTGAAGTAACACCGCCTCCTACTTTACTGTAGCAAGTCAGTCATGGCTCCCATGTATTCATATTTTATACTGTATAATATAAGGTGCATTGCTTTTTTTGGGGCAGTGCACTACAGGAGAAGAGGGTTTTTTTGTAGTTGTATTTGCCTACTGAAGAGCCATTGACTGCTCTATTTGGGTCAGACAATTGAGGTCCAGCTTTTTCCCTTTGGTTGCCTGCCAGCTATGTTTTCCCTCTGTGGCTTTATACTTCAATCGCTTTTCAAAACACACCTGCCACTCCCAACATTGAAGTTGGCTTTGACATTTCTTTTTTGCTCAGCTAATTGTTCATACTTAATTCTAGCCTGCAGATCAAAACAAGATAACTTTTAATACATCGTAAAGGTGCACTTGTGCAGATTTTATTCAGCATTTTCTGTACATACCATAACAAAAATAATGTTGTGCAACCACATTTAAATCCATTCTGTGTTGAAATAGCAGACAAGCAAATCAATTGTCTTGTGAAAAGAAAAAAGTCTCATGAAGCATAAACATTTTAAAATGCCTTTTAATTACACTGGGTTTTGCACTGGCTTATGTATTAATAATCAAAAGACAATCTTTAGCAGTCAAGTTAACCTGTGTATCTACTCTAACAACAATGAAGATTCTCAGACATTGCGCACTTGGTTTGAAGTGTTAAAGTGTTATAAAAGGACAGCCAAGGACTCTGGGATGTTATATTATATTAAATTGTAGGTCAGTATGACTCGCAAGATGACACCTTCAAGACAGGTCATGTTTTTGGAGCTGATGGAGAGAGAGAGAGAGAAATGTCCTCTGTCTGTAGCGTGCTTTGCTTCCTGATCCCTGCTGCCAGCTGCTGTCTTTCCATGCATTCAAGCAGATCCTGTGGTGGTATCAAGTAGCCTGGCCTAGCCGTGACTGCACTGTTGGGAGGCAGCGGGAGGGGCTTTGGCTGTAGCTGGATTTCCTGCTTGCCTATTAAAGCCCTGTTTGACCTAACCCCTGCCTCACTGGTGGGAGATGTGTTAAGCATGACTGCCCTACTGCTAATTCACCACACAGACATCCTTGAAAAGGACTGGCAACAAGGAAAAAAACACTGCATGTGATAAGCATTCAAATGCTTATTTTCTTCCACATATCATTTTATCTGTTCATAAAGTTGTGTTGGGGGTAAGGGAAGTAAGATAAATAATATAGTATCAGCATATAAGATATGGGTTATGTTTTACCTTGTGTTTGCAGAGACTTTCTGTCTGCAGTCTGTAATCCCTGCAATGCAGGTCAGGGGAAACAGCATTTGGCGTGTTCTCTTAGCTAGAGAATGGCAGGGGTCAGGGTCAAAAGCATTAGCAGGACCGCCCACCACCCACATTTTCCATGGCCAGCTCTCTGAATCACCTTTAATTTCTGTGCTCACTCTGTTGTTGTGTGTGGCCAGACACAAGAAGAGTTCTTCTACTTCTCCCTAGAGACTGAAAAATAATACTGCTTCCTGCCCTTAAGTGTCTTAAGACTATGAAAAAGCAACATTTCATGGCAAGTGTTATCACACTAGATCACCAACATTAGCTTGGTTAATAGTCTATTTCTTGGTTTAAATGGTGTAGATTCCCAATCTATCTTAATCACAATGGATGTGCTGAGAGGTCTTTTTACAGATTACAGCTACTGCATATATGATATGTTTAAAAATAATTATGTCATGGCTCACAAGCCCTGATATTTAAAAGTAGACTTTCTTTTAAGAGGCTATCCTAAAAATAACCCCCGTACAAAGCAACACACATGACACTCCAGGAGCATCGGGTACCACACTGTACTGTTCTAGAGTTACACTGTGCAGCTGTTCCTATTCTTCGCTGTGTCCCTCTGATGTCAGTTTATTGTGAGCATGCCAGCAGCTGACCACGGCTCTGTGCTTTCTTCATGTTAGCCATTGTTTCCGGTTTTACATAGCTGATGCAAGTCTTGCATTCTGCACATACATGGCACTCACATGCTATCACGTCACGCCTGCCCGCAAAAATGCCCACAGACACTGGCAACTACTACGCTATGTGAAAATAATTGTTTCTCTTTGTCCCTCTCTTTGTCTCAGGCTGCAGATCGCCCAAGAGGAGCACCGTACGGTAGAAGTGGAGAAGGTGAACCTGGAGCAGAAGATGAGGGATGAGATTGACTCAGCCAAGCAGGAGGCCCAACGTCTGAGGGAGCTGCGCGAGGGCACAGTGAACGAACTGAGTCGCCAAAAGTATGCAGAGGAAGAGCTGGATCAGGTACTTTTGAATAAATAGTTGTGATTCAATCATGGTCCTTCAACACAGAGTGACTAGAATGAACTTCCAGGGTGGCAACTGCACAGTATGTTTTAGTTTTATCAGATTCACACTGACTATCGCATAAATACGCCCACTGAAGTCTTTGTCCATTAGGACTTTGGCAGGAACAACACAGCACATCCCACACAATTAAGAAAACATGAATACTAGCTTTAAGGACTATCACAGTGATCCACACTTTTGTCACAGTATGTTTTTTATTCAGAAACATTGGAAACATGCTAGGCCTTCAGATGTTGCGTAGTTTCCCAGTCCCATATTCAGGAGGCAGGTGTCCATCATTCCTCAACTCTTGCTTCTTTAAACATGTTGGTTTTAATTGCCTTTGAGGTTAGGAGAAGAGTTAGATGTAAGTCTTTTGAATGTGTGTGTTAGAAAACATGGTGACTGTTTTCAGATGTTGGATAGATTTTTCTATAAATTGTGTGTTGATTAATATCAAATTACAGGCCCACACAACTGTACACATTTCATTATGTGTAGTATGTTACCTACCCTATGCTAGGACATTTTGAGGGGAAGGAAACACCCCCCATGGCAAATTAGGTAGCCTACAATGTGTAAGGAGAGATGTGATGGCTTCTACAGTTTCAACATCACATTTATATTCAGCTTGTTTCTTTACGAGGTCACCATACCATTAGGTATTTCCACATATAATTAGAACAGTGATGTTAACCAGCTTAAAAATATGTATTTCACCATTGCCACAACCTAGTCTGTTTAAACTGGATTTACAAATATATTGTTATCATCTTTACAAATGAACTGAAAATCCTTTTTTAAAGTTTCATTATTATGAGGTTTAAACTAAAGTATTTAAATTCGTTGTCCATGTAATAATTATTTTTGCTATGCTTAGGCAGATGGACAAACACAGACAAAAGCTATCAATGTTTTATGTGAATGTATTCTTTGCATCAATAACTTCTTTCATCAGACGTTCACCAATTTGTTTTTGTTGTCCCTTTTATGATCCAACTGCATGTAGGCAAATGATGTGCTGTGGTTCATATAAATGCAAATGCTTTACAGTAACTCAGTCAATGTGCATCTGACGCATCTAGTTGGTCAAAGTGGTCCTTTTAAGAAGCAGTCAACAAACTAATCTTGCATTTTGGTTGCATTGAAATGATCAATTTATGGTTGTGTCATTGTATGTGTTAATGCATCTAATGGTTGTCATGTGTCAAAGGTGCGCATGGCGTTGAGGAAAGCAGAGAAGGAGCTGGAGTCCCGGAGCAGCTGGTCCCCTCCAGAGTCTCTGCAGAAGTGGCTGCAGCTCACCCATGAGGTGGAAGTGCAGTACTACAACATCAAGAAGCAAAATGCTGAACGGCAGCTCCTGGTGGCCAAAGAAGGGGTAAGCATGTCGAAACCTGAAGGGGAAAGCCATACTGTTTTAGTTCATAATATCGCTTTAATGATTGGGTTTCAATTCCTGAATCCTATTCCAAAGCTGCTATTTACAACTTCACTGTCACACTTAAATGTGGCACTATCTGTGTGTGGATAACGTCCATGAGGCAGAGATAAATGTTTGTTCATTTGTTTTCTCAGGCAGAGAAGATAAAGAAGAAGAGGAACACTCTCTTTGGGACTTTCCACGTGGCTCACAGCTCCTCTCTGGATGATGTGGACCACAAAATACTGTCTGCAAAGTAAGTTGCAGAATGTAATGGTGGAATACTTTTCCTACACTTTTAGAAAATAAGCAGCATTTTAATTAGCAAAATAACATGTGACTTTAGAACCCATTTGGACAGCATTAACATTACAGAGGGCGGGTCAAAAGCATTCACTGCACTCCTCTGTATTTTACTCTTTGTTCTGAACAGCATATTAACCATCAGAGTTACAGGATGTGGTCTATAATGGAAAACAAAATGGTGTAGGACTACCCAAACTGTAGCTCACTCAACAGCACATTTAATGATTTCTTGCTCTTTGGATAGTTTTCTTTTTCATTTTGGTTCTCTAAACCAGTGATTCTCAAACTTTTTTCATTAATGTACCCCCTTTGGAAAGAAAATTCAGCCAAGTACCCCCTGATCAGCGCAAAAACTATTTGTTAGGGGAAAAAAGCCTATATAAAGAGGTACAGTACAGCGCTGCACCATCAGTGTCTGATTTATTAAAACAACCTTGTAACTGAGAAACACTTAAATGCTACATTTCAAATGTTTACAATCCATCACTAAATTCATGGCAAACCAATTTTAATATCATGCAATAACACTAAGACGACATTAGTTGCATTGAACTGATCTTTTTAATAAGTTGTACTTACAATTTGGTGAGAAACATGGGCTTGTGCTTCACTGAGGATCTTTGTCATTCTGACAGGGAGGCAACTGCAGTTATTAGACTTCGTGTTTTGAAATATGTGTAACTCTGTTAATATAAACTCTTTCATTAAAGGGGACCTATCATGCAAAATGCACTTTTGTACGTCTTTTAAACATGAATATGTGTCCCCGGTGTTCCAGGGAACTCACCAAGTGTCAGAAAACACAACCCTCTCTATTTTCCTCCATACCCAAATCTCTAAAAAAGAGATCTGACGGATCTGATAAAAACTGATCCAGATTTGAACACTGTCCTGACGTCAGGACAGTGGCGCTACGGCTATTGGGCCAACTCCACCAATCAGGCAAAAACAAGGCTAAAAAAAGTGCAAATTGAGCAAAATGAGGCATGGCTAAAATGCATGATCTGTTTGGTATTTTGAAGAAAAAAAAAGTATAAATATGCCTTATATAGGTATGGTCCTACACTATATTATTAAAATATAGCATGATAGGTCCACTTTAACATAAAATAAATCTCACTTACCCCCTGCAGTACTCCAACGTACCCCTAGGGGTCCGCGTACCCCCATTTGAGAACCACTGCTCTAAACTATAAAATTGGTTAACAGGTAACTTACTTGTTCCAGTTTTGGATATTTTGTCTCCTAATAAAGTCATATAATAATAATAATCTCCTTTTTCCTCTGAACTTATTTCCCCTCTCCTTTTTTCTCCTCCTCTTCCATAGACAAGCCCTGGGTGAGGTGACGGCTGCTCTGCGTGAGAGGCTTCACCGTTGGCAGCAGATCGAGATCCTCACCGGCTTCACCATCGTCAACAACCCCGGCCTCCCTTCTCTGGCCTCGTCCCTCAACCTTGATGGCAGCCACTCGAGCGGCAGAGCGACGCCTCAGCACTTCATGATGTCTGAGGACATGGACGACATGGACGAGGATTTCGTGCCTGGAACTCTGCAATGTAAGAGTTCCTCCGAATCTCTTGTCCAGTCTATGGGGAGTAGCAAACGAACCCCTAAACATTCCATGGGCCTGCTGGGAAAATCCAGATATCAGCCCACATGAGAATTTGGACCTTTTATTCCATAACACAAACTGAAATTGTGTTTGTGGCCTTCCTGGTGATGGAGATAGTGAGCGTCACACATGTCTACGATTGAATGAGTGTTGTTTTACAGTTGTGTAAGATGTACCTTGTAAATCCACATAATTGTCTTGATCTTTTTTCACACAATTCCAGTTGAATGCTTTTTGTTGAATGTTCTCATTTTTGGATAAAAGTGTTCACTTGACTTAGTCGATAATGGAGACTGAACTTACTCCTGTGACTTTCCTCTGGAAATTGAAATGTCAAGAAAAATACACCTCTTAATGAGAACACCTTTTTGTGCAAACTTATTTGTAGTGGTTGTGTCCTAATGTGTGCTACAAACCTTTTAGTATTAGATTGAAGTCAAATGGGTAAAACTAATGGAAGTGTATTAAATGCAGCCAGTGCCTAACTTAATTTCTTATTAAGGTTACATATGAGACAAAAAAATGCACTAAAACTGCCTCATCTTTTACAAAATCCTAATGTACAAAACTCATTATTATTGAATTTTAGAATTCTTAGGTAAACACATCAACCACACCCATCTCATTAAGAACACTTCATGTCTTTCCACCTCGTTATGAGCTCAATATTTGACTTATTATTATGACCGACCTTGACACGCTTAGTATGGGTTTGACTAACTGCAGGCGAAACTTGTTCTGCAGAGTCCTTTTCCCGCCGCAATAGTGAGTAAATCTTTTTATCAACATTAACTGCACTCCCTATCTCACTCCCCTCTCTTCCTCCACCACTTCTCTTGGCATTTGGCTGCACTGCTGTCTCATTGGGCTAACTACAGATGGCCCCCGACTGTTGGAGCGGCGAGCCAGCGACTTGTGGTCTGTCGGTTCAGACTGTCGGCACATGAGGAAAATTCGTGGTTGGCCATTTATTCATGCCCTAGTCCAACCCTCAGTTTGACACCCCTGCCTCTTCCCCTGACTCAAAACCCCACGGAGCCTTTACATTTATTTAACTGGACAATAAGCAACGACTCCATGCTGCGTTCATCTTACCTTTCCTTAGTTGCTTGCTTTCCACCTCTCCTCTAAATCTTGTCTTCCCAGTGCACTCCTGCTCTCCTCCCAATGTGATTTGTCTATTACTTTTATTGTAAATGGGCAAAATATTACTGAATTATGTTTTTATTTATTAATTCAAACAAGCAGTTCAAGTTGGTTTGATTTCTCCTTTTGATTTTTATATTTTTCCTTGTGAGGACAAGAACATAAAACAGTGGTGTAGGGATTTTATATTATTAAATGAGGTTTTTCTTGGCGTCTTAATCATATTACAAGCTTTAAATCTGTTTTAAGTCAGGATAAATGTTTCCCTGCACCTGAGTATCTTTCCACTAATCCCAGGCAGTCTCCCTGTGTCCGTCAGTCTTTATTTACCAAGTGGTTGTTGATAATGCTGTTGTTTTGTGCCCACAGCTCCCAGTATGATGTCTCTGCGCCAACGCCACATTGACCCCCAGTTGGCCATGGGCTCCCAGAGGTTGGTAGACAGTTGCCTGTTGGCTGGGCATCAGGGAGAGGGTGCCCTGTATGCATCCAGGTCCAGGGCTGCCTTCTCAAACTCACGCAGCCAGTCGTTCGGGCAGCTCGACTCTCTCCCTCTGCCTCCTCTGTCCTCGGCTGTGTCTCACCCCTCCATCATCTGTGCTTCCAACTTCAATCACCATCCCCATCCCCAGTCCTCTTTGTCCTCCTCTTCCTACTGCTTGCCCAGCTCTGTGTCCGGTGTTGCAGCGCATCATTCCTCCCATATATATCATGGTTCTTCTTTCCAGCCCATGGACCCCATTCCTGATTTCACTTTCTCCGAGGTCTCCAATGCAGAGCGCAGCGCCAGCTTCGGGTATCCATCTCTTTTCCAGTTCTTTTACACACATCGCATGTGCGTTGATGTATTAAAAAGGGAAAGCAAGTGGTTAAAAAAAAAACACATTTGATTTTGTCCTGCTTTCTTTCGTTTCTTTTCCACGTCATGAAGCATCTCATAATCTACACATTTACTCTTTTTAACCTCTCAGTGTTCTTGTTCTCTGTCTGCACAACTAACAAGTGTGGAGTTCCAGTGTCCAGGCTGTGCCCAGCGTGTGTCCGTGGCTTTGCAGGCATTGTGTAGACAAACCCCAGCATGCAAGTCTTTACCTTTTCTTTTAACTTAATCTTGCTCTAACTTGTGTGTTCTGTCCCCCCACAGAGACCTAAATCGCTCGGACTCTGACTCCTCCCTGTCTCTCTCCCAAGTTGGTGATCGGCTATCTGCCTACAGCTCCAAAGGCCACCTTATCAAGCCCGTCTCTCTCATGCACAGCATATCTGGTCGGGCAGATGACACCGTGTCTCTGCATGCGTACACCCCCAACGGAGGGAACCGCATTCTTGAGGTCAGTCCCGTAGAGCTTGGCCATGACAGCCCAATACTCATGAAGAAGATGTACGGCTTGGAGCAGAGTCCCACCCTGGCAGAGATCCAAAGTATGTCCGAGTCGTCCCGCTCCCTCAGCCCCAACTCCACTGAACCTGACACTCCGTCACCTACTGGGGGTCAACCAGGGGCCGTGGGGGCAAAGGCCAACACTCGCATCCCGCAGCTGTCCTCCAAGAAGAGCCCGCTGGAGGAGGACAGCGGCTCTACTGGAGAAGACACAGATTCCACTGCCAGCCGCAAGAAACACACCTTCAAGATCTTCAAGAAACAGAGGAAATAAGGGCTACATGAACTACAGGGCTATCAATGCTGTGTGACTGTATTCCTCTGGTCTGTTTTTGAGAAAAGTTTTATGGGTTCTTTAATGGTGAAAAGATGGTACAATTTGTTGCCGTTGCATCTTTTGGTAGGTACGACACCTACTCTAAGAAACTGTGGGAGCAACCAGATGTTCAGTTTTATCTGCTTTTTGGTCAATGTTCAATATGTGGGGAATGGGTAAGTTTGTATATTGGAATGTAAAGTATTATTTATTCTGCAGGAAGTTGTGCCAGTCCCAAAGGCAAATGTTTTGTCACCAGTTTTCTTTCTTGTTCCTAAATATTTAACATGTTGCATGTCTTCACTTTTGTTTGACTGGTAGGCTACTTGAATGCTCTTAGTGTTTGCTTGGTTATGTTGTTAACCTGCTTAGACAACACTTGATGTTTCTTTTATTACTACCTAACCAACTAGCCTACACGTTCAAAGTGAATGTGCACCTCTTTGTTTCACTCAATACTTAGTTTTTTATCGAAGGTTACCATTTTCCCTGTCTCTTCTGGCAGAGTAAATGACACAATCAAGAGATCCTCAAACTGAAGAGTAGTCAATACAATCTCAAGAGTGGTACAACAGTGACATAAAGATCATTTTGGGAACAGCAATTTCAGCTATTGGTTGATTTAGAAATAATATAGATATTAATAATGTGTAACATTGGATCTCAAGATGTTTACAATAAAGTCAATTTCACTTTAACAAGTTACAAAAGGACCATCAAATTCCAGCATTAGATATTTTGCTTTACTTTTAGTATTTAGGTGTCGAGTGCATGAGAGTGAGAGAAATGCTTTGCTTTAAGTGTCTAGCTTTTAAAACATGCCAACAAGTTTAACCACTGATTCATATTTGGAATATCACGTTTCCTCAATGGAGTAGGTAGTGATCAACGTTTGTAGTTTCTCCGTCGATTACCAAGAACATCATGACTTATGAGACTGCGTGTTATTGTGCTTTTATTTATCTTTGTATTGAATTTAAAAGTTACATCAGAGAAAAAAGTACATTATATACCGAGACAACATATATATCAAAGATTTTAACACAAAATACTAAAGCACATGTTTACTGAACTATTTGACAAAGAGTAATCTTTTGTGTTTTAAGATTTGGTTCAAGTTTACCGTTCCTTTTGGCTCCTGCTTTCCCCAGTCCTATTGATTTTGTTTAAATAACTATTTAGCTGAGAATGAAAACTTCTCAGCAGTTTGTCGGTTTAAGATGGGTGCTGGTAAGGGCTATAGTTACCAGGCAAATTAATTTGCTCTGTTTGATATAAATGTTTAAGTTCTAACTCCTTTACAATTCACCTTTTATGGAAGATTTAGCTTAACGAGTCATGTCAAAGTGCCAAATCTATCCAAACTGTCAGAAGCCTTTGTATATGTAGTGTGTGCGCCCCCTTTACAAAGAACACATGCTTTATATGAACAGTGTGTAATGTATCTCCTGAGCTTCAATGCTGAATGTCAGAGGGTAATGTTCCTGTAACAGTATCATCAGTACAATATGTTTACATTTGTTACAGATAATTACTACTCTCAGATTATCGCAGCAAAAAACATTGTGCCAGTTTTAATATTGACAGCTTCATATGAGCACAGAACTATGCATCAGTAGTTGTAGGTGATTGCTAAAGTAGTAAGGACGCCAGTACACTTAGGGTGTTCCTGACCAATGAACAACCAAAAAGTGCTGCAGACGACACAGTGGGCCTCGACGGCCTCATAATGTAACAGGTGGTCTAAATGTATACGACTTGTTTGAATGCTTTATTTTAGAAACCAGCAACAACAAAAAAATGGATTTCCTACTGGTACTTTTTTTTTTTTTAAAGTGTCATTTGTACCTCTTTGCACGACAGAGCTGTTAATGTTTTTGCCATCTGAATGTGTGCGTGTGTCTGTCTGCTCCGAGTATAATGCACTGTATTGTTGATGCATGTCAAATGCTGTAACAAACCTATATTGGGTCAAAAAGAGTTACCCACCCTACTTCTTCTTTCTCTTCATTTTCAGCTTCTATTTATGAATTCACACAGTATATTTGTACAGAGAAAATGACAATTTTGCATCTTCTGTGATGGTCTAGACTTTTACGGCACTCCTGCATGATAGCAATAAACTATTTTGAATGAAAAATGAGTTGATTTCGTATGAACATTACACCACATTCTGCACAACACTACACAACACCTCAGATCAGTAGAAATCAACAAAGGTTGGCTTCTCTTAAATATTATTTTTCAGGAGTGGCAGTGCACTCAACAAGTTTGCCCCGAAACATAATTGTAATTTACATTTAAATGCTGATGTAGCATAACAGGTGAATTATTGCAGTTTCCCTGTGGTTGTATGTTAAGTATTGGCATGCAACCCTATCAACAACGCTCCACCCAAACTGCACTGTGTATATAGCAATGAGGGTGGGGCTATGTGCTGTTAAATATTGACCTATGGTTCAATATAAGTAAGGTGGAGCAGGATGAATGCCGGATCTTAAGGCTCCGTGTTTCTTTTCAGCTTGAAACTCTTTAATGGGGTGTTTAATGAAAACATGGATTTCCAAATACTATACAAATACATCTGTCAGTTTTGTCTCGTGCAGGTAGGAGCTGGTTTTAACTTCATTATCTGTGGTACCCGTGTTATTTGATTTAAACATATTATATAATGTGTTAATTCCCCCTCCCTCAAACAGATCGTCTGGGGTTTAGACTCGGTGAAACTCCTGAATCCTCCAGACGAGCCTCTGTCAGATCATCTTTTGAAAATACTTTACTCTTGTGATGCTCCTGCCACAGTACAGCTGGACTGTATTGTATCTTTCGAAACTGGCATCACTTCCACACTCCAGCTGAAGAAATGGAGCTGTGTCCCCGGTGACCCTGAAATAAAGACCCTGGTGGTGAACTTTCCGGATTGGCTGGTGTATCAACCTGATGGGATTATCCCTGACTCCCAGTGGGTGCTGAGTTGCATCCTTCTGGCGTCAGTCAGATACAGTGGACTTGATGACAGCGAGGGGTCTGTCACTGCTCAGAATTTGGCAACTTTGCAGCCTAAAGCTTTCTTTAGTCGACCTGTAAAGCAGCATCAACTGTGCTTCTCCTGGAGTACACAAATGCTGAAGTTAACTCAACGGTCTGCAAAGAAACAATGCCCGTTGGAGCAAGGTAAGGTTGGAAAACTGGCTTCAAACTATGTGGAAAAAGGCAACTAACATGTAACATTTAACAACAGAGAACACACTCTTCAGATATACAAATTAATTATCTTAGGGTATGTAAAACATTTTAAGGGGGAGATTCATTCAGGTACCTAATTGTATTTCATAAGAACATGCTTCTCAAACCATCTGTCTGAATATGACAGATTCTGACCCATAGCACACAAAAAGCTGACTGGGTGGTCCTAATTGACAGTGTTTGGGTGGGTAGGCTCCCCAAAAACCCATATGTATATGCACAAGCGATACAAAAAAGTCAGTTTTTCATAATATGTCCACTTTACTGTCATGCTTTACTTGTCTTGAAAGGATGGTGGTGTTTTTAGATTTTACAAATATATTTAAAATCCCAATCAAAACGCTTTATTTTCATTCAGAAACAGTGCATTTCCTGCCTTCGATGTTTGCTTCAACTGGAGGAAGCTTCGGTATCACGAAGACACTGGACTCTTACAGCAGTGAGTTTCTGGAGTACTTGCGTGTTAAAGCCATCTCTCTTCCATGGTAAGACATCAAAAGTCACACCAAATATAGCTTAATTTCTGTTATTCAGATATTATGTAGGGATGGTTAACTTAATGTGCTTTGTATTTTTGTCAGGTGTATGTTTTCCATCTGGGTATTTGTGACCAGTAACTGCCAGGACAGATTGTGTGGTGTGTTTTATCACATAGACTCCCATCTAAACTATGTTACACCAACACTGTTCCTCAAAGAATCAGGTATAATTTGGATTGTTCTATTACCTCTCAGATATTCTCTATGTAATAACTATTAGATGTTATTATCTGGACGTACATGAGTCATTTCCTCATGTGTACAGGACAGCTACACGTCCAGATGGATGGAGAGGCAGAGGAATCCTCTGCATTTGTTTCTCAATTCAAGGTGCCTTTGAATGAGTGGTGCCAAATCAGTGTGATGTTGATTGGTAGAACGGTGAGTAGTCTCCTGTTGGCAAAGGATTGTCCTTAGACTCTTTAAAGTATGTGAATAATTGTAGAAATGACAAATAAGTAGTTCATAATCATGTGTTTGTATCTCAGGTTACTCTGTCCATGGTGTGCATGGATAAAGAGCAGAGGACAGTTTATTCACAAGAATATGTGTAAGTGTACTTCTGACAATACAAATAGATTCATTACATGATTCAGTTATACCGAAAATGAAAATGCACTTCAAGGGTCAACATGTTCACGATGTGTCTTGCAGGATGGGTCATGCTGTCGTGCTCGATGATACAGAGGGATATTTTGTGATTGGTGGAGGGAAATACATAAGAGGTGTGGACGGTTATTTTGGGCCAGTGGTTTACCACCGCAACAGAATACCACCGTACAGCATGGTAATATAATGCACCTGCTCACAGTTATTTCCCATTTCAACCTTTAACTACATTTGTGACTGATCTTTTTTGTTATCTTCTCCAGTCTGAAGTTGTTATTCCAGATGTTATCAGGGCCTTGAACCTGACTGGATGGCTGCAGACCTGTCAACGATTTCGTCTCGAGATGGATGTTAAAATCAGTGGCTATTCTTTCAGGGCTGAACAGGAGAAAGAGTCTGGAAGTAGGCTTATATAACCACCAGATGGTGCTAAAGTTACTGTATCTGAAATATTCTCTGCAGTGCTACTGAATGTGCAAATGAACTATCCATGATTTCTTTTCAGACACCTGTTTTGATGCTTTCCATGAGTGGATGGGAAAGGACAGATTACCATCGTACTCACAGTGCGAGCTGTGGGAGGCAGCTGTCCCTCATAGAAGACAGGCTGCAGACCTGGCCAAGTTTCTGGCTTTCAAACATGGTAAGAGATAACCTGCGTAAAAGTGAGTAACCTTGCACTGGTACAATATATTTATGGGTAGGCTAAGTAACAACAAATATGAAGGTATACGTTTTTGAACTTGAGCTTCTGAACACCAAAAAACGTGTGTTTTCCGTTAACCTGTTATTGATTAAAAATCTGTATGAATCTTATATTAACTTTTTCGTTTGTAAGGGTGGAACAATTACACTTTTACAATTCTTATTGGTAGATGAAGATTTTTGACCGAAATAAATTCTGTCAAACCTCGAGCCCATTTTTAGATGCTTTACATTTATACAACTTTTTCTGCGTGCAATAAATTATTTGCGGATTTATCATGTCATATTCAAACCTAAAATAATTTAAGCATTGACGACACTGAAATAGATAACCAATTGCTTTTTCACGATGAACACTGTTCATCCAGAGTTTAGGGATTGCATCAACTTTAGGATATCCACTTAAATATTAAGGGTGATCTAAACAAAGTGTTGCTGAAAATGTTTAATGAATGACACATTTCTCTAATGTGAGTAAACAATCAGAATTTGTATTCCTAATGTTTTTCCCTGATGATATCACATGAAGCACTGAAATCAGTTCACTTGCTGACTTGCAGGAGAAGGAGCCAGCCTGCCAGCTTTGGGCAGAGCACTGTACTCCTTATCACTTCATAAGCTGAGCAGAGCGAGCAGCACTGGAGTGGTCAGCAGAATATTACCACTGCTGCTCCAAGCTGGCTGCTTAGCTGATAACCGAGCTCTGCACATGTCCTCTGTGCTCTACAGCGCTGGCCTGGGAGTGAAGGAGCAGCCCAATAAGGTGTGTGCTACTGTGTCAGCTATAGAAGAATATTCTGCCTGTGGTGAACATTTCTGCCATATTATCTCTTCCCCTTGTGTTTGGTATAGGCTTGGCTCCTGGCCCTGATGGCAGCCCAGAAGGATGATCGGTTAGCTCTTCTGCATCTTGGGCACATGCACCATCAGGGTGTCCATGGCCTCCCCACAGACCCCGACCTGGCCTATGCATATTATGCAAACATTGCTAAACAGACAACTTTAGACCGTCACAATCACACACCAGAGCAGGTAATGTATGTGGATGTGACGGTGTGCATGCTCATTTTGAATGTGATTTCTAAATTAAAGTATGCAGTCCAATTTCTTTAGAACTTAATATTTTGATCAATATGAACTTTCTCTTGCATAAATAAATTCATGGTAATTAATGGCATGATATAAATTGTTTTATACATATTATATAAGAAAAAGTCTCTCCTTATGGTGGCTATAATTCTTAGATTTCCATACATTTGTTTACCTTTGTTGCTGTTTTATCAAGATAGATAGCAGTATTATACACCTTTGATAATATTACAATGCTCAAAAGGGCTACATGTTGTATTCAATGCACCAAGGTTTTTGATTTTACATTTGTCTTCCCTTTTTTCTTAATTTTTTCAGACATATGTTGAGGCCGTTTACTTAAACAATGATGAGGTGTTGAGTCTCCAGACCAATACACATCATCATATCTTCCAATGGCTGAAGCTGCAGGCACGCAGGGGAGCAGCTGAAGCAGAGGTACCTGTTTTGGCAGCTTGTCTTTTTAAGTTGAACCTAGAACCAGAACAGAAAGTCGGATAAAAACAAGTGGGATAAAAAATAAAACAAATAATCTTAAGATTCATATACTTTACGTTTTTTAAGGGTACACATTTTAGAGTAAAAGAATGGCTACAGACAATTGAACAAGGAGAGGATTTATTTTATTATAATTCAGCAACTGTTTTTTCAGCAAGCAGTTGCCCGCATGCTGTACTGGGGTCAGCAGGGAGTGACTCCAGATATCCAGACTGCTGCGAGGCACTACGAACGGGGAGCTGTCCAGTGGGAGGACCCTGTGTCAATGTATGACTATGGCATAGTCCTAATGCATGTGAGAACTACAGCTCATATACATAAGAAACATGACAATCCACTGAAAGATCATTTATTATTGATTAAAACTGTGTCTCTGCAGGGGCATGGAGTTAAAAAGGACATTCCAAAAGCTCTGACTTTCCTGAAGAAAGCAATGGAAAAGGTTTTTAATGAT